TATCACTTTGAGTTTCTTTTAAGAAGTACAAAAACTACTAAGAAAATTGCTTAAAAATTCGTAAGTTTTTGAGATATTCAAATCAGACTTTTTTGCATTAGTTGCCAAATACGATTCACTACAAAACTATTATAAAAAATTTTAAATTTCTTCCACGCATGTGCTGTATAAAAGAACTACTTTAATTACTTATATTTGCTCAGTTTTCAACGAATTTTTTCTAATTTTGAAACAAAAATTTCATAATTAATTTTAAATGCTCTAAAAATTTTGTTTAATTTTATTGAATACTTTTAAAGTTATAGCAAAAAAACTTAAGACAAGAAACTTAGTTTTCATTTAAAAATACTCATATCTCCAAATATATTTAAGCAAGGTTTACGAAATTTTGTGCAATTATTACATATAATAACCAAAATAATTGTTACAGGTTACTAATACTTTACAAATACATGTTTAATACATTTTTCGACTTAGGATGTTCAAAAACGCTATTTTCCGTTCGCAATTTATTGTCACTCCCTCAAACCTCTAAAAGCTTTGAACTTCATTGATAAGTATTAAAAATCTCATGATGTAAACACTTCTGAAATGAAATATATATNCACGCGAAATTTTTTAAAATTATATATATATATATATATATATATGAAAGATCCTATATGAAAGAGTTAAAGATTGTCCTTTTTGTATATGAAGATTGTTACAAAAAAATTCACATAGCTACTGCTTCTACTTTTATGATGAGGAAGTAGAGATTTCGTTCGATATAATAATAATAACAGCATTTATTTAGTTTAAAAAAATATTCTAGAACTTTTACAGCCTAGAATTTTAAGATTATTATGGCAAATTTTATGCATTTTAATGATAAACAATCCCGTGAGCAAAGCCCGGGAGCAAATTAATCATCGAACTGTTTTCGGTTTCTTCTTTTTAACGGGTCATTGAGCGTAAATTCCAGTGCACATTCAAACAACTACTTACCGTCATTTTTAGCCTAAACTTCAACTTGAAAGCAAACAATGGGTAAGCGATTTTATACATTGGTTTCCTAGAAAACTATATTATAGTGAGCTATGTTATATTATTGGTTTGATAGAAAAGTATATTTTAGTTAGCGATATTACTGTATTGGTTTGCTAGGAAAGTATATTTTGTAAACGATATTATAATATCGGTTTGTTAGAAAAGTATATTATAGTAAACGATATAATCTCATTGATTTATTAGAAAAGTATATTATAGAAAACGATATGATAGTAGTGGCTTTATTGAAAAGTTTGTTATAGAGATCGATATTATAGTATTGGTTCGTTAGAAAAATACATTATAGTAAACGTCACAACTGTATTGGTTTGTTAGAAATGTATATGAAATTGTAAGTGATAGTATAGTATTAGTTTTTCAGAAAAATATATTATAGTAATTGATATTGGATATCATCTGTGGTTAAAAATACCGCAAGCATAATTTCAAATCAAAATTTGTATATTTACATTATTGACCCTTATCAGATCAGTCAGCCGAAATATTGTCAACCGTCATTGTCACAGATGTACTACTAATCTTGTAGAGATCATTTTTTTAAAAGAAGGAAGAGATAGAAATCGTATAGAAAGCAAATTTCATTTCTATCATTTCTTTTCCCAATTTTAAAAGTATGAATGCTTATATACCCTCCAACCAATATGGAAATTCCGTAGTTTTAGAAAAGATTTCTATTAATGGTAGTAAAGGTTATGTAATAATATTTTAATAAATAAGAATTAAAAGAATTTTGACCGCCACTATAGATGGACAATTTAAACAGATATATTATTTTGCGAAATGATATTATTCTAAAGTTCTGGTGAAAATCTTTCATAAAAATTACAATTGTTTCATAAATTTCCAATATAGAACACTATTACGGGAAAGCTAATTTGCAGTTAACCTCAAATACTGGAGGGGATATATTTGAGAAATTTCTTATCAACAAATATACATGTTATAAATATGATAGTAAATTATAGTAGTCAAGGAAAATTTTGTTCCTCTCTATTTACCCTAAGAAAAAGATGGAGACAATGTTCTTTTGTACTTGAAAACCAGCGCATCAAATTCTTGGAGTGATAAGGGGGTTAAAGTTGCAAATAAAAATCCGTTAATTCAAACAGAAATTTTTTTTTTAAGATACCACTTCAGCATTTATAGGTCTTGTTAGGTGAAGTTCTCATATTGATTTATTTCCGTTCCGAAATAACATGCAATGGTGATTGAAAATACAGTCAAACCCCGTTATAGTGAACATGGTTTATAGTGAACACCCGGATATAGTGAACGAAATGCTCGCTCTCGTGCCTTGCTATACAAATGTAATATTATTTTTTTTTTTGTGGATATAGTGAACCGAAAGAAGAGAGGAAATCGGATATTATGAACTTTTTTCCGTCTTCGACTGATTTTTTTTCTTTTTTTGGTAATTTTGAAATTTTTGCACAAAATACATATACCGATTTTTAAAATCATTTATTGAGTGGAATGTAGCCATAAGCATTTATTTTTTGTTTGCTTCTTTTATCTCAGTTTCCGATCCCTAAATTTTTTCCCCGCAAGACGAAGAGTAATAAAAAATAAAAGTTAACACATATTTTGCTACTACATATTGTTTTTTAATCATTATTGTATTTCTTTTTATTGGTTATTTATTTAAATAATGTGTAATATAAGGGAGCAGCTCGGAAAAATTAGTTAAAATTGTTTGCAGTACTGATATAGTGAACTTCCGGTTATAGTAAACCGAAATTTCGGTCCCTTGAAGGTTCATTATAGCGGGGTTTAACTGTATTATAAATGATCGTGGCTTGCATCATTATATACTTAATGGCACCCTGTTTTTCGTATTAGTTACTAATTTTCTCTTAAACTAAGAGACATAGTTTTCGATATATATCTTCTTAGAATTTTTATTATTTGCTATACTCAGACTAATGCATTTCTCTCATCAGCAAGCAAATCATGAAAAAAAATATTGCCCTGATTTATCTAGACAGTTACGACAGTTTTGTCTAATTTTTTTAGCAAATAATATCAATTCATTTGAAAATGTACCAGAAAATACCATCGGGGAGAAATGATTGAAGTTATTCGCGAAAAAGGAGGCTGTTTTTCGAAGGCTCAGTCGTAATATGAAATTATGCTTTTTTGGGAGTAATGTGCTTTTATTTATGCTTTTTTGTGAATAATATGTTTTTATTTATGCTTTTTTGTGAATAATATGCTTTTATTTATGCTTTTTTGTGAATAATATGCCATTTTTGGAACTGTTGTGAGTTTGCAACTGTTACTCATGACTGTTAGATCAAGTGTAACCAATCTAAAACCAGCGTTGTCTACGCTAATTTTAAAAATGGCGCAAAATGTCAATATACAGAAAAGCTACAGTTTTGTGAAAAAGAAAAGCGTTTGTGGTCTAATTTATTTAATATTTAAAAACTTACTCCAATGCTACATCACCTGGGCTCATAAAAATTTGCAAAAACTGAGAATTAGACACTGATTTTGATAAATTTTATCTAGGTGAAAATATGTCACCTAATTGGCGATTTTTAAAAAAGTTTTATAACTTTTAAAATATTTCAGTAATTTATTTGTTCTGAAACCCAGATAATTCTTCTTGGCAAGATTATGTACATAAGTAGTTATACACCGAAGAGCCATTACATTATGACCACCCTCCATCTATAACAATGGGCTCGCCCAGGTTTTCATGGTTTCTCGCCCAGGAACAATGTTTTCATGGGGCACATTAGGACCCATAATCCTCATAGAACAATCCCTGACGTCTGTAAGCTACTTGAACATAGTTGCAGACCAGGTTCACCCATTCATGGCAACAGTTTTTCCTGCGGGGGATGGTGTTTACCAACAGGATAATGCACCATGTCATAAGGGTCGAATCGTCATGGATTGGTTCGAGGAACATTCCAGTGACTTTCAAGTCATGTCTTGGCCCCCAAATTCACCTGACCTTAATCCAATAGAGCATTTGTGGTCCTACTTGGAAAACCAAATTCGTGCTGCCACGCTACCCCCTCGCAATGTGAGGGAATTGCAGGACCAGTTGGTGAGCGCTTGGTACCAGATACCTCAGACTACCTATCAGCACCTTGTGGAATCAATGCCACGGCAGGTGCTAGCAGTTTTGAGGGCTAAAGGTGGCCCTACATGTTATTAGCAGGGTAATCATAATGTAATAGCTCTTCGGTGTATATACGCATATATTATTTTTGTATTCTGTTAGTCATACACATTCAAAACCAAATTTGTTAGAGTAAAAATTAACTGTTTAACTTTTGCTTGAGACAAATTTCACGGCAAAAATGAAAGAAATCCACAAAATAATTTTAAAAATTTGGAGCTTTTTGAACAATAACGAATAACAATCACTCAATTCTGTCACAACTTTAATAAGTGTTAAACTAAGCCATGTTTTTGTTAAAGCCGAACCATAATATCATTTAATTTGACTGCAACTTTTATAAGTTGTTAAATTAAATCATGTTTTTGTAAGGGTAAAACCCTAGTATCATGTAATCAAGCTTGTAAAGTGTGATAATTGGATTCCATTTAACACCTTAATGAATATGCGCCAAAATTGAGAATTGATATCATTATTATATGGTAATTCATGATTCAATTAAAAAAGTATTGGGAAAATTTATTTTTTCCGCGCTACATTTTGATTCATGTGTTAAATCTAAAGAAAAATAACTTGAATATTTTTAGGAGAAAAATAATAACTTTAATATTTGAAATTTGCATATTTTAAATTGCGTTTGTTTTTGAAAGACCCGTAGTACTCTGTTGATAAACCTAACCCAAAAATTTTGTACGTACCGAGACATTTAATAACATAAAAATGTTTTTCTTCCTTGAAAATTCTGATCAAAAATCTAAAATTATCTCTTTTATTTCTATTTTAACATCATGTCACTGATCATTGTTATTTCTTTCAGGACAAAAGAATTGCAGTTTGAAGGAACAGGATGAGCTGGTCCAAATAATTGGAAAATATCGGGTAACTTCTGATTTTGAATGGCTTGGATTTAAAACCGAGAATACAGAAAATAAAAATTTCCAGTATGAAAACGCAAATTCTTTTGAATCTTTAGAAACTCAACGCCAATATTCTTGTGAGACATTACCTGATTCTGAAAGTACAGATATTGATATAAAAGAGTTTCCTGATCCAATAATTGACGATAAAATGAACGGTAACAAGAAACCAGATAGCTCTACCAGTGATATTGATTCTGACAGTCTTTTTTCCAGTGAAATGCAGGAATCTGATGAAGTTTCTAGTACATCACAATATAATTGCTTGGAAATTGTTGAAGAAACGGAAGCTCTGGAAACTGACAGCATAACTGAAACAATCGATATCAGAATATCTCCACAAAATTCCACAGTTGAGTTGATGACTTTCCAATGCGCTGATGACTTTCCTTCAGAATTTTCTTACGTTGCTGATGTTGAAGTCAAAATGAATGAAGATCAAGAATGTGTTGTCTCTACCACACAAAATTCAACCGTGAAAGATCTTCTAACGGGAGATGAATCAAATACGATGGAAGTCAAAATGTACGAAGTGCGCAGCAAAGAATCTTTAAGGGAATTTCCAAGATCAAAAAAGTTAGCGAAGAAAGATACCGGTTCCATTGAAAATGAGAATGATCCAGGAACTTCTGATGACGTAGCTCAAAGCTCTAGTGTATCAGGAACAAGAAAATGCGCTGCTACTGGAATGAAGAAAGACCCGAGAGAAAGTAATGGTTTCACAGTAGAAAGCAAAATAGCGCAGGAAATTAAAGAAATGAAACAAAGGGAAGAGGAAATTAGAAAAATGAGAGAAATGATGACGAAGGAAAAGCCCTTATTTACAGCCCCAATAATTACACCTGAAGTTGTAAAACCTCCTCAGGTGCCCATTCATACAGAAAAAATTAAATGCACTCCTTCATCCCCAAAGATTGTGACTGGTGGACAGAGCTACAATATTGCTAGCGTGTTCGCAACTAAACGTAAAGATCCATCAAGTCTGACAAAAGCGTGTTCACAACCTTCATCGACATTCGAATCTCCCATTGATCGTGATATTAGAATGGCCAGGCAACGAGAAGAAGAACTAAAAAAAGAAAGAGAATTAGCTTTAAAGATGAAATATCAAATGGAAACCTGCCAACAAAGCGCTGAATATAGCGAAGATGAAAAAGATGGCACTTTGGACAATTTAACGTCTGTAAGCATGTGCAGCGATTCCTCGTTAGATTCTGAGCCAAAAGCATCATCGCTTTATGATGCCTCTCCAGTAAGTTTAAACAACAAACTCAATGCCATTTATTCAAATTCATCAAACATTTCTCAAAGTGAAAACATTAACGTTTTGCAAAAAACATTTTCTCAATCTAAGGATCCCTTCATGAGATCTCCATCTCCTGATTCTTCTAGTAGTTCTTCCATCTCTAAAAGTTCACCATTTTATCCTCAAAAAGCTATGACTTCTTCTCAAGGTAAAAATGTGAACATGGAAAGATTCATTGCCAGCAAGGGAAGAGAAATTGCGTTTAAAAGTCCCGTAAATTCAGTTACTGGCAATCAGTATTTTGAAATAAAACCGCCACAGATCAAAAAAGGTGATCAGATGTCACAACGAAAATTCCAATCAGCTGCATCTAAAATTCAAAGTGAATTGCAAGAAATGAAAGAGAGGGAAGATGAACTAAAGTAAGTTTTTTTTTACTTAAATTTTATTAAGTATACGAAAAAAACTGTTAAACTGTTCTTGACTTTAATATCAAAATTCAAAGTTATTTTATCAAACTACGTGCTTCAAATAGACTTTTATGTGTTTATTCATTATCCCCTCCCAGAAAATAATATAAGTTCTAGTTAGTCATAAGCAATTTAATTTTTTGTAATTTTCAAATAGCACATTTAAAAGAAAATGGCACGACCCTTTAAGGGCGAGACCCATTGGAATTTATCTGAAGAGGTCTCAGATAGCCTCACATGAGAATCCCATAAAACATAACTGGCTTCGGTGGGATGGGGGGCAAAATAGGAAGAAAACTTTAATAACGATATTTAGACTAATGAAATAACGTTCCTGATGAAGTATTTTATGTGGAATCGGATCAGGAAAAAAAACAGATACGATAGTACTGATAGATAGGAAAATCAAAGGATTTAATGAACAAAAAGTACAATTTTATGCTTGTGTCTGTTTACGCACTTGACATTGCTATCTAGACATTTGAAGTATTATTTTTTTATAAATGTTATGAAGTTTTTTATGTGGAATCAGGTCAGAAAAACACAATACGATAGGTCTAATAGTTAAGAAAATAAAAGGATTTGATGAACAAGAAGTACAATTTATTACTTGCGTCTGCTTACATACTTGACGTTGAAGGTATTATTTTTTTGTAAATGATATGAAGTTTTTTATGTGGAATCAGATCAGAAAAAAACCCGATACGATAGTACTAGTAGATAGGAAAATAAAAGGATTTGATGAACAAAAAGTGCAATTTAATACTTGCGTCTGTTTCATTGAAAGTATTGTTTTTTTATAAATGTTATAAAGTTTTTTTTAATGAATCGGATCAGAAAAAAATCGATACGATAGTACTTTTAGATAGGAAAATAAAAGGATTTAATGAGCAAAAAGTACAATTTTATGCTTGCGTCTGTTTACGCACTTGGAATTGCTATCTAGACATTTGAGGTATTGTCTTTTGTTTTTTTTTTCTTTTTTGTAAATTTTTTTACACTGAGTCAACAGAGATCAACAGAACTAATCCTTAAGAAGTTTAAAGGAATTTACTGTATAAGATGTGCTAAAAAATTGCACTTATTAACGAATTTGTCTTTGCTATCTAGTTGCAATATAAGACAAATAAAATATTGTTTTCAAATGCGTTCTTTGTCCTGCTGAATCTAATGAGATTGCATGAAGACGAAATGAAGAGACTGTTAGTTTGGAAGTTTTCGGTAGGAAAGGTATAATGTAACATATTTAAATATTTGAAATTGCTATCTACAAAGCACAATTGAGGTATTNATATATATATTTACACTGAATCAACTGAAATCAAACAAGTGTCAGTCTAATCCCTCAGAAGTTGCAGAGCCGCTTATGTATAGTATGCACTATTTACGAATTTGACATTGCCATCTAGTAGCAATTTAAACGAATAAAGTATTTTTTCCAATGAGATCAAACACGAAATGATGGGACTAGTAGTTAGGAAGTTTTAGATACTACAATAATAAAATTGCAATCAAATGGAGTACAACTAAAATTCAATAGTAAATTTTATTTATAACTGAAGCCATTCGTGTAGATTAGGGTTTTAGTGCGAATCTAATAATCTTCGTTTCATATAAGCAACTGAAAATTGACGACTTTATCTAATTTTTTTTTAAACTTTAGATTTTAATAATGGTATTATACAGGTTTAGAATAAAAAGATTTTCAAAAAGTATCTGTAAATTTCATACATAGGGAAGAGTGAGGTAAAATTCGAGGACCTGTTAGAGCTCTTAACTGTTTGATCTGGAAATTGTCAGATTTAATCAAGATATTCATTGTTTAGTTGAGTGACAAGTCATAGACAAAGTTTTATCAGCGAGGAATCATGCTACAGAAAGATGGCAAAAGATAATGGACTGCAATGGACAGTATATTCACTTTAAAAATTCGTCTTTCTTTTTCATTCTTTCTTACATTTTGACGCAAATTCTGCTCCCGCTTCGCCAACCACTGTATTTCCACTCTGTGCGTCCACACTGTACGTTTCCACAGTACGTCCACAACTGAACATGATATAAAGCATGTTCAGTTGTGGACGGATCATAGGTTAGTATCTCACAAGTCCCTGAATCCCACAGTGAATCCGAATGAGTGTGGATTATTCCATTTCTTTCGTAGGCTGAGAAGGTAATAAGCACTGCACATGCCATCAACTGTATTGTTTATTACATCAAAGTAATTATTTTTGTAACTGCTATTAAAATACTCTGTTTATCTATACTGAAAATAATAATTAAATAAATATTTCCTCAAGTTGCTACATGCTCTTTTTTACAATTATTTATTAGAAATAGATAAAACTGATTATGACTGTTTTTTGTAGAATGGTCATGATTTATCTATTAACAGAAATAAAGTTTATCAAATGAAAATAGAGACAATGAAAAAGCATTTATACATAATTAAAAATTTATACAAATTTTAAATAAAACTTAACTAAATGCATTTCTTTCCAGTTATTGATAAAGAAAAATAGATTAAAGTTTAAAGAATAAATTATAACAGATATTTTTTAATAATTTTTCTTTTAGGATAAATTAATAATCAGACACATAATCTGTCAAATGAAAATAAATTTAAGAAATATATTAGATTTTATGACTATTTTTTTAAGAAAACTTATGATTAATCAATAAACAGAAACATAATCTGTCAAATGAACTTTTAGTGAATTATTAAATTTTAATTGTAAGTAAATTCTACATAATGATTAATCATACACATAATTAAAAATAGATTTCTTTAGCTCTAATTTTAATTTTTTTTCTTCAGTTTAAAATGCATGAAGTGATATGAAAAAATATTTAGATGCTATCTGAACTTAATTATGATTTTAAAAAATGTAACTTGAATGTAAAAAATATTATTTTTAAAAATATGCGTCTAATTTAGAACGTATCAGAAATGTTTTAATACGGTATATGTTTAAAACTTAAATTGGTAGATGGCGCCATCATTTTCATTTCAAAAGTCTCCTTTATGGGGGCAGAGAATAAGTAATAAGAGCTAATATGGTTGCAAAGGATATTTTGAAATTGATTCTCTGTGTAGTCTAAAGAGCCACGAAGTTTCTGAGCATGAAATTCTACCCTTTTTACCTGCAAAAGAAGTGGAATAATCCAATCTAATTCAGATTTACTGTGGGATTCAGAGGCTAGTTAGAAACTCCTTGCCATAGGGCTAACCGTGGGAAGCTGGTGTGGTTTTATTTTCCATGTAACGCAAATGTAAGTTAATTCCATCAAAAAGTCACTAAAAAAAGGGAAGTTTATCCTAATACCCGATCCAGGAGTTCCCTTGTACTCTGGATTGTGTTCAAAACTACGAGGCTATTTAGGTCAACATTGATAGCCGTAAATCCAAAAATGAGTCTGAGGTTCGACGCCTGTAGTAAAATAAAATTTAAAGAATTATAACGAAATCTTTTACTTTTTCGCCATGCCTGCAATATGTTTGCTATATATTTGAAAATTTTATGCTATATCATAGCAAAAGGGTATAACTTTTTTAATGCTATTCAAGTGGGAATGCATAGTGTATATAGTATTCATATATGATTAAAATTTATAATTCTGGCAAAATTCCTTCTTTTTTTTACTGGTATTTCCTCAAAAATATCAACAACAAAAATTTTTGAACCGATGCCTGAAATTTTTTATTTAACCTTTCTGTTTAACCTTTTTGGTCTTATCACTCAAAACTCTTAAAATTATTTTAGAATGACCCAAATTTAAACTAGTTCAATATTCGAAATATCTCCTCTTTAAAAAAATCATTAGAGCAGTGTTAGTTTAAAAAATAAAAATGAAACATTGAATTTCCATTTAGAAGTATAACTTCTTTTTGCAGGGCTTGCATCACATTAGAGTTTTAACCCTTATACTGACAGCAAACAATTTTTTTGTTTTTGTGGAACATGAAAAATAATGTATGTAACAAACCTAGGCAATGTTTTCTTCCCCTTTTACTTACTCTAGGCATGTAAACCTCGAATCTCTAAGAAGACTAAATAAAGTATGTCTACAACGTGGGGTAGTTGCAAATCAAAATAAGTTAAACATTATATTTCAAATTATAATTTTTAACGTCACTAGGTTGTAGTTTTAACATAATTAATTGTTAGTCCAAGAATAATAATAGAAATATTGAATAATTAATGATTATTCCTTTATAATAATGGAATTATTCAGTATCAAGTTACTCACCAAATTAATTAAATTATGAAAACAGCTATTTCTGTCTACTTTAGAAAGGCGATTTTCGTAAATAATTAAATTGGGGAAAAATTTTTTTTTTGCTTTTATACAAATACTTGATCTTACCTTGTTCGAGTAAGGGGATTTCATACCTGAAATTAGTTTTGTTAAAGCTACAGATTTTTTACTGAATGGTATTTTTTAATGATTAGTTTATTTTTTTGTCTGAGTGTACAAGTTTATAAAGAACGTATAAATACTCTTATAAATTACACTTGTCTGGTCTTTTGAACGATAAATGCACTTATCTGCTCCTCTGAAAATGACATTTAAGGCAAAAAATCATCTGCCCTTAATGAATCGCATCAGAAATTGAAATGTGTAACCGTCTTCTCCGTTCCACTCCCTGTGTAGCAGAGAAGTGGTGACGCTATTCATTCGAGTGATATAAATTGCTATTAAGAAAAACAAAGTAAATTAATAACAATTCCTGTTTTGTCAAAAATCATTTCAATAAATTAAAAAAGCTCATGTTTTTGTGGCATTGATATTTTTCCGAGCATTCAGTGAAAATTTTAATAGAGTAAAAATCGGAGTCTTGGAAAAGTCTTGAATTGGAAAAGAACATTCCAACTGTCGACTCCACATTTCTGTCTGGCATTGCTACCAAAGATGAGCGCATTTTTAGAAAATTAAAAATGGTAAAAACTAAT